CGACCACACTGGGCAGTGGCAATCTGCGAGAGGCAGTGAAATTGCCAGAAGGCGAGGATCCGAACGAGTGGATTGCCGTGAATGGTTGTTGTTGTTGTTTTAAGGAATACCGTTTGTATGATTGGTAGCAGAATTCGATTGTGTAGAGCTGTGTAATAAACAATCAACGGTAGCAGCTGCTGGCTTTCAGACATTCGTTTTTCATGCTTGCTTTGAACAGTGCGCCTGCATTTGGCAGTGAATGAGTTAATTTTCATAGATTTATCGCAGGACGAAAGGCTGTGTTTGATGACCGTCTGCCTCGAAGGCCGTTTTTAGTGGATGATATATTTGTAGTTTTGGACTTCTTCAACCAAGTAAGCATGCTCTACGGCACAATAAGTGATCACTGTACAGTGGAGTCGTGTCCAAAGATGTGCGCCGGCCCGAAGTTCGAGTATCAGTGGACGGATGGTAGAAGGCCAATCCGCTGCCCGGCGCCTGTCTACATTGACTATTTGATGGCGTGGGTGCATGAGCAGATCGACGATGAGAATATCTTCCCATCACTTATTGGTAAGCTCACATCTTTCGATTATTGCAAATAGCAGACTTCGTTTAGCATTGCTTGCACCTCTTGTGCAGCTGATTTGGATTTTTGGGGCTGTTTGTTGTTTGTCGGATTCAGTTCTGCTACATCTGAGTTTGGTGTTATTCAGGTCAGCCGTTCCCTCCAAATTTCCTTCACATTGCGGAGGCAGTTGTGAAACGGTTGTTCCGGGTTTACGCTCATGTCTACCACCAGCATTTGGAACTCATTGGTACGTATTTACAAAGTTTTCGTTCTCAAACTAATTTATTGAAGCATTTGCCATCGGAAATTTAAAGCTTAATCACTGTTTTGCGCCTGCCCGTATTCCTGAGGTGACAGAACTACTAACTGCAAAACTTTAGCTCCGTTCGAGCGGCAGCCTGCAACTTTTTGTACTGATGTGTCATTCCAGTGCTCGGACATCTTTAATATCATCAGTAAGGATCGTGTAATATTAAAAAAAAAAAAACGCATTTTGAGCGGTTATTGTTTGTCACTATGTTTGCTTGTTCACTCTTCAATCGTACATTGGATTTTTGCCATATTTCTTGGGATCGTTCTGTAAATTCCAAATTTCTTGCGTTTTTGCGCGCTTATGCAAATGCGAAAACGCATACTGGCAATAAGCTCTCTACGTGCGCATGTGTGTTTTTATGTCCGCATTTTGTCACTCATCTTCAACTCAGCAACCGGGAGAGATAGCCCCCGTTTTAAAATCAGTGTTTATGTACGCTCGGGTCTTACGCAGGGGTATGTCGGAAGTTGTAGCAAAGAAGCGATTTTTTGACTCTTTGGCGTCCTTCTCTGTTGGCAGTTAGTTTCACGAGAGTGCTGGCGCATATCATGCGACACTAAAAGCATAAAATTAGCTTTCACAAATGCCTATGTCTCATGTGTGGGTGCAGTTAAGATCAGGTTGTAGAAACGCATGGTCGCACCGGCGACTTTGGTGCCCGTTGCTACTGAATTACTATAATCCAAAATGTTTCTTTGCTCAAGTGCTTCTGTGGCCAGTTTAGTCACTTGTGCTATACGTTTCACGCTGACGCACCGCGCGTTCAACCTTCTATTATCTTTTACAGTAAAGAGCTGATTTTCATTAGTGTTTTTTTTTTTTAAGAACATTTAAATGCAGTGGAGCATCTGAACACCAGCTTCAAACATTTCATGCTTTTTGTACATGAATTCGACTTGATTGATCCAAGGCATCTTGCCCCTTTGCGAGTTTTCATCGACCAACTTGTTCCTGAATGGAATTACTCGACGATCTTGTAGAGGCCCTTGTATTGTGTTGTATCATACTTAAAGGTACATTTTTTCCATTCCCAGTTGTATTTTTACGAATGCTATTCATATGTCCAAACAGAGGCAAAGTGAAGATCAAGTAGGTTCACGAATCCTTCGTAAACCTCTTCACTTTCATCATTGAGGCTAGCAATTTTCTTAAAGGCAGTTTGCTGGCTTCTTTTAACGTTTACGATTTCTTCGGTGGATATCTTTGCAAATATGGCAGTTGCAGTGTTTGAAAGTATTTCGCTGATTTATTTGGCTGTTTTTCGCTAAAGCACTTTTAGGCGAGTAAATCTTCGGTGTGCTTGGCGATTTTTCACCTCCTTTTGGCGGATTGGATCGTGTTTGCGCCTTAGATGCATTGCAGGATGTTTCTCATGATGATACGCATTGCTTCGCATACATTAATTGCCAGTGATCGTTCGTTTTGCTTAGCGATAATACATTTGTTTCATCGGGTAGTTATATGCTGATATTAGTGAAAATTTGGATAATCTCTTCATGCAAAATCGAAATTTGCTCAATGGATAACACAGAGGTGGGGTTTTTCATCGTTTTTAATTGTCGAATGGTAACGCCAAGCGGTAACATGAACACCGGTTTCCTGGCGTATCCAGTTTCCAGTTAATCGAGCGCAATTAGAACTGGTGTTGCAGTTGTAACTATTCGCTACTTGGAGCAAATACTGTAAGCTGAATGTAAACGAGACACTGTTTTTTATTGTTAGCAGCTGGGGATTACACTCACCGACATCATCTTTACAAGCAGTCCGTGAATAATTCGTAAATACATTTACTCTAAAAGATGGCTTGTTTTTACAGCACTCATGTAGATACTTGAATACCGGGCAACATCTGATTACTCGCAGGCTAAAATCTTTATTAGCGATTCTTCTGTTCTTTCACCATCGGCTTTGCTTCCCTCAGTCGGATTGCTCTGCGCATATGGCCTCTTCATTTCTTTCTAGACAGACAGCGTTCCTTAAGCGTTTTCTGCTGTGTAACAGCCGCTCAAAACGCATATTGTCAGGCCCCTCTCTATGTTTATGTATGCATACATGTATGTTATGTACGTATGTATGTGTGTGTGCGTGTGTGTGTCCGAATGCGTTTTGTCCCGCATTTTTAGTTCAGAAACTACAAAAGCCACGAGGCTGAAATTTTATGAGAACGTTCTTCGCCCCCCTTTGGCCCGGTAGATTTAGATGTAACCTTCACGTTCACTTGCTCTCACATATAGCTCCGTGAGGGTTTTGGCGGGGAAAATTATGTTGGCAATCACAAAAGCTGGAAGGCGGACATTTTAGAGCAATGTTCCCTCCCCTTGTGCGATCTCGCAAATTCAAATTCAGCTTTCATGTACATTTGGATCTCGTGTACAGTTCCAGAAAATTTCGGCGGGAAAAGTTATTATCTCGGGAACCAGAAAAGCTAGGGGGCTATGCAGAGACCTCATAAACTAAAATTTAGCTACCACATATGCTTATTTTTCACGAGCGGCTAAATGAAAGTTTTTGCGCGAAAGTCACTGGTTCGGAAGTCAGAAATGTAGGAAGCTGGAATTTTGGATGTCCCCCGCAAATATGTAACCCAAAGGTTCCAGATTCAGTTCCCACCTACGCTTGCGTTTCACCTGCTGGCACTTGAAATTTTTGGTGGCAAATTTCGCTGCTTAGGAACCAGACAACATATTGACTATTTTTGCACATACCAGAATACGAAAATGCTTGGCAGCAGACGTCTTTCGGACAGAACTGCGCAAAATGCACCTTTAATTGTCCCTGCTGCGCACCTCTTCTTATCACTTGTGTAGTGATACTCTCCACTTTTGTTTTAGAAGCATACCGCCGTGTAAGTAGCTGACCTCCGTATGTTCCCGATTTCTTTTTACCTCTTTCGTTCCGTTCCCATCCTCCCGTTCCTCACTTACCATTCTCCTCTTCGGCTTCACTCACTCTTTGCCCGGTTCTTCTTCTTCTGATCCACCTAATTGTATTTTGAAATATGTTCAATTATTTATGCATGAATCTGGAACTGATGCATTCAAC